GTTCAATTTTGTAGTTAAAGATATATTTCTGATTTTTGTTTTCACAAATTCAGGCATAAAATCATCAAATAACTCTTAGCTCTAGAATATGGATGATACCCATTGCATTACAAACTTTCTGCAGGGTTGTAGATTATTTTCCTCAGGAAATAAAATTAGGCCTAAAAAAAGATTACATTTGTTTCCTGTACCTTACTAACACAGATGAGTTTGTATGCTGATTTTTTTATTGATCCTTTGTGGCGCCTTTAAAATGGCGACATATAGGGGTTTCTTTTGTCGACAGTGTCGGTGTCGTTGTCGGTGTCGGCTGTGGCGTTCCCTAAGGCTTGTCCAGAGCATAACTTAATCACTTGAAGTCCGATTGACTCCAAACTTGGCATGCATGCTTCTTTTAATGACCCAAAGTGTCGTGCACAAGAATAATTATCATTCGCTCCTAAATGCTTTAGAAATTGCCCTTTGTTACTTTTCATAATTTATTTTTGTCGGGCCATTATTCCTAAAGTATGAAAGCAATGAACTTGAAACTCCATATGTTGATAAATCTTATTAGGAAAAAATGCAGTGCACAAAATTCGTATATGTGCACTTCTTATTTCTTGAGAAATTGCCCTTTGTTAATTTTCATTCTTTATTTTTGTTTGGTCCATTTCTCCTAACGGGCTTGAAACTTCATAGATTGAAATATCTCATTATTAAGAAGAGCACTGCACATGAAACAACACTTTGCACTTCTTATTTTTGAGTTATTGCCCGTTGTTTATTTTCATACTTAATCTTTATCCAGGCCATTTCTCCTAAACTATGAAAGCTATGGACTTGAATCTTCAAAGAATGATTGATGTGATAAATAAGAAGTGCAGTGATCAAGAACCAGCACTTTGCACTTCTTATTTTTTTGAGTTATTGCCCTTTGTAAATTTTCTTACTTTATTTTATTCCAGGCCATTTCTCATAAACTATAAAAGTTATGGACTTGAAACTTCATAGGATGATAGATCTTCTTGAGGAGAAGTGCAGTACACAAAAAATGGTACTCTGCACTTCTTATTTTTTGAGTTATTGCCCTTTGTTGATTATTATAATTTATTTTTGTCTGGGCCAATTCTCCTACACAATAAAAGGTATTCAAGCTACATCAATCTTGATGTAACATTGTAACAATCAGTTCAAATGCCAATAAAAATCAAGGTATATGTACATTATAAGAAGATTATGCCTAAAAGTCTGCTATGCTGTTCAAAAGGTGACATATACTACTAGCGGAGTTTTAGTGTTAAAAATTGTTGTGATTGTTCAATCTTATGTTGCATTGGATTCAAACTCGAGAAAGCACAGTTCAATAAATTTTGGGACACACTGTTCAACCTGATGTTTCATATGCAAAATTGAATTTTGGTATCAGTTGAGCTGTTATTGAATTTTGATCAACTGGCCTACTTTTGATATTTTTTATATCGCTTCACCTACTTTTTTATGTACAGACTTGGAATTTGGACCAGGGTGTAATTTGTGTAATTTTTGATGTTGAATTGAATTTTGATATCAGCTGACCTACTTTGGATATTATTGACACCATTTGACCTTCTTTCTCTTGTGTTTGAGAAACAGATTTTAACCAGATTCTGACCAGGCTTTAATTTTTTATTTTTAATCGAATTTTGATTTCAACTCACCTACGTTTGATAATTTAGATACCGCTTTACAGACTTTATTTATTTTTGATAAACAGACATTAATTTTGAAACAAGTGTCTAATTTCTTATGTTGAATCAAATTTTGATGTAAACTGATCTACTTTGATATGTTTGATATAATTTAACCTACTTTCTTGTTTTTTTTGACAAACAGACTTGACATTTGGGCTCAGGGTGTAATTTTTAATGTGAAATTGAATTTTTATATGAATTGGCCTTCTTTTGATATTATATACATCATATGAACTACTTTATTGTGTTTGACATACAAAATTTAAATTTGGAAAACTTGATTGCTTTTTATATTTTTGATATTGCTTAATCAACATTTTCTTGACATACAGACTTGAAATTTGGACCATAGGTGTAATTTCTGATGCCAACATGAATTTTGATATATGTTTTTACCTACTTTTGATATCATTTGACATACTTTCTTGCTTTTTGACATACATACTTGAAATTTGGACTAGGGGTGTAATTTATGATACCAAATTAAGTTTTGATATCAGCTGACCTACTTCTGATACGTTTGATACCATATGACCTATTTTCTTGTGTTATGATCTACAGACTCAAAATTTGGATCAGGGGTGTAATTTCTGATGCTGAATTGAATTTTAATAGAAGTTGACCTACTTCTAATATTTTTGTTATCATTTGACCTACTTTCTTCCTTTTTGACATACAGACATGAATTTTAGACCAATGGTGTAATGTCTGATGCTGAATTGAATTTTGATATCAACTGACCTGCTTTTGTTAGCTCATCTATCACAAAGTGACAAGGTGAGCTTTTGTGATTGCTTTTGGTCCGGCGGCCGTCTGTCGTCCGTCCGTCATCTGTAAACATTTACTTTAAACGACATCTTCTCATAAACTGCTGAGCCAATTTCATCCAAACTTCACAGGAATGTTCCTTTGGTGGTCACCTTCAAAATTGTATAAAGAATTTTTTTTCCATGTAGAACTCTGGTTGCAATGGCATCCAAATAAAACACTTAAAACTTCTTCTTTTTAACAGTCGAAAGAGCAAGAGCTTAGATATTTGGCATGAAACATCTTCTAGTAAGGGTCTACATAGTCTGTTCAAATAAAAGCCCTTGGGTCAAAATTTGTCCGCCCCAGGGGGTCATTATTTTCCCATGTATATATATAGTATATATAAAGTAAAAAGAATTAAAACAATCTTCTTTTAAAAAGCACAAAGAGCTAGAGCTAAGATATTAAGCATGAAACGATCTTCTTATGTGTGTTTACCAAGTTTGTTGAAATAAAAAATCTGGGGTCAAAATTGGTTTCGCCCAAGGGGTATTAATTTTCCTAATATACATATAGTAAAATCTTCAAAAATCCTCTTTAAAAAACCTTAGAGCTAGAGCTTAGATATTAATCCGGACACATCTTCTAATGGGTGTCTACCAAGCTTGTTCGAATAAAAGCCATAGGTATAAAATGCCCCGCCACAGGGGGTCATTGATTTTTCTTAAATGTTTATAGTAAAAACTTAAAAAAATCTTCTTTTAAAAAACTCAAAGAGCTAGAGCTTAGATATACAATATTGCTCGGATGAGTTCAATGGGTCAGGTGAGCGATCTAGGGTCATCTTGCCCCTCTTGTTTTGTTGTTATTGTTTGATACTTATTGAATGGACTGACTTTTTTATTATAATACAATATTTTTAGGATAAGAACTTTATGTATATGAAACTTAAATTGACTTTGCCTCTTTTATGACCTTGAAGGTTTAATTTGCATTTAATTATTTGTTTGCTGTTTTAATGCTCCCTGAAGGGTGAGCATATAGTCGCCGCTTTGTCCGTCTGTCCGGGCGAACATCCAATGGTCTATGTGTTTCATTCCGTCCATAATTTTAGTTAAAAAAGAAGGAAATCCCATAAAGGTCTATGCGGTATTTTTACTGGTTTATGGGGGGAAATGCCACATAAAGATCAAAGAAAAAGCAGATAAACCCAAATTGTTCGCACGACCGTCTTTCCGTCCGTCCGTCTGTCTGTCAGTCCGACCGCTATTCGTCTCCGGGACATAACTGTGAACCAACAAGAGGTATCAACATGAAACTTTGTAGGTAGATAGATCGCATTGAGTTGATATGTAGTGCACAAGAATCGTAACTCTGATTTGCCCAATTTTGGAATTATTGTTCTTTGTTTAGTTTTACACTTCAAATGAACTTTGTCCGGGACTTTTATACCTAAGTAATGAGGAATGTTTGTATAAAGACTAACAATACCAAATGAAACCATTTGTGCATATTCAGGTACTGTTCTTGGTATAATTCTTGGGAAATCTATGTCATCTTTAACAAATCTATTTAGTTTATATAAGAAAGGCTTTAGTAATATATCAAAAAGACAATTTAGATGACTAGTTTCACACTGAGGTCAAGCAACATTAGGCCGTAGCTGTAAATCTGCTGGGTTTTGAATTTCAATATATTCAGTATTATGTTCATTACATACTTTTTAAATATTATCACTCTTATAACTTTTAGGTAGACGATAAAACGTACTAGTTCTGATATCAAAGTCTAGCAAGTATTCGTTCTTTTGAAATGTTAAATTACTATTGAGGTTTATTACAGTTGTAAATTTGTAAGAGTCATTGTTGTTGTTGTGACTGGTGCTCAGGCTTTTGTGAGCAGCAAATTGGAAGTATAATTGTTATTGTCACTATTGTTGTTATTTCTGGTGTTCTGGTGGTAATAAAAGCAGTATTAAATCTATCATATATTGTTAATGTCACTGGTGTCTTGTAGCTAATGCTCTTGTGTTTGAGAAGTGGCAACAAATAAGTGGTTATTTTTATGTCCCAGTTGTTGTTACAGCTGATGCTGAAGTGGTTGTGGAAGCAACAACAAATAAGAAAATTATTGTTCATGTGGCAATTGCTGCTGTTATAGCTGATGCTCTGATGATTGTAGAAACATCAAAAATTGCGTGGTATAATTGTTAACCCTTTCCCTCATACTTACGCGAAACAACGCACTTTCATATTGCATACATTGCATATATAATAACCAGTGTGAGGAAAATAGTATAAAATATAAAGTTAGATTCATTTTAAAGACAATCTCAAAATCATAAACACATACTATATACATGTATAGTCATTTTATTCATATTGTAACAATTATTTAAGTCTGCAAAAGTAGATTTTATGATCTTCTATGTGTCAGATATACATACCGGTATCCTCATTCTGAGATGCATACCTTTACACACAAATTTGACTGATTATTATCTAGCATTTATTTTATATAATATTTTTTTTCTTTCAGAATGTCTGGATGGGTTTCACGGATCTGACTGTACTAAGGACTGCGGGTACTGTTTATCAAGTCAGCCATGTGACAAGAAAACAGGCCAATGTAAGGAGGGGTGTGATAAAGGATATACTGGCAGTGAATGTATTATAGGTAAAGTAAAGGAGTAAGACTAAAAAAGCCTTTGAGCACCAGACTAAAAACAAGTATATACAGGACTAGGCGCTTGAATGATTAACTACTTATATCTCAGATTTTACCTGCCGAAATGAAATTTTAGAGGTCTTTTCATCTATTTACACTGATTTATTTAAGATTATGAAAAAAATAAAAATCTGCGAAAAAATTATGAGCCGCGTCACCACAAAAACAACGTAATGCCTTTGCGACCAGCATGGATCCAGACCAGCCTGCGCATCCGTGCAGTCTGATCAGGATCCATGCTGTTCGCTATCAGTTTCTTTACTTGTTATAGGGTTTGTAAGAGAACAGCATGGATCCTGATCAGAGTGCGCGGATGCGCAGGCTGGTCTGGATCCATGCTGGTCGCAAACCCATTATGTTGGTTTTGTCATGACGCGGCTCATATATTTCTACTTTGTTATCATGATTTCTGTGTCTAGAGGTACTGCTCCATCACTGAAGTGAGTTAAATCTAAAACAAAAATGCTTAGTTGTTTGCAGAGCTGACATATCTATTCCACCATTATTGAGTCACGCCAGACTGTATGTATATGCTGGATAACCTGATTTGTTAATGTAGACTGTTTAATATTTGTATTTTTGAAACTGGTGTATACTTTAAAATAATAATTTATTGCTCGAAATTATGAGTAGGAAGAATGCCCATTACACCTATTCTACTGAGCTAACCCTTTCTCTGCCAGAACTGTATTTATATGTATATTAAAGTATATTTTCATGGGATTTTAGGAATTAACTGGAACAGATATGTGCTTTTTAGCTCACCAGAGCCGAATGTTCAGGGTGAGCGATTAGTATCAAAGGGACATACTCCGTCGTCCGTCGCCATGTGTCAACAATCGTCTTTTTCCCTGAAACTGCAGAGCAGATTTAACTCAAATTTGGTCTGTACCCTCCTTGTGACAGTCATACTTAAATGTCCTCATGTCATTTCAATTGGCCCCTTTAATGGTCAACAGAGCTAAAATAGATAAAACATTTAACATCTTCTACAACATAACTGATCGATTGATTATCACCAAACTTTGACTGTAACATTTTTGGGTAGTCTTTTATCAAGTTTGCTCATATTAATTGGATTGGCCTCTTTTAGGGCTTGCTAAAGCTAAAAGTATAAATATTAAAACATCTCATTTTAAAAAACTAATTGATAGATGATCACCAAACTTTGTCTGTATAACTAATTGATGGATGATCAACAAATTTTGTCTGTAGCATTTTTGGGTAGTCTTTTGTCACGTTTTCTCATATTAATTTGAGTGGTCACTTTAAGGGGCCGCTAAAACTAAAAAGAGAAAAACCTTTAAGGGGCCGCTAAAGCTATATATAGAATACGTTTTAACGTAGACCGCTAAAGAACTAATTGATGGATGATCACCAAATTTTGTCTGTAGCATTCATAGGTAGTCTTTTATCACGTTTGCTCATATTAATTTGAGTGGTCACTTTAAGGGGCCGCTAAAACTAAAAAGAGAAAAACCTTTGAACATAATTTCCTTTTGAAATAATTGATGGATGATCACCAAACTTTGTCTGTAAAATTTTTGGGTAGTCGTTTATCACGTTTGCTCATATTAATTTGATTGTCCCACTTCAGGGGCTGCTTCAACTATAAATATAAATACTTTTAAACGTCTCCTTATACAGAAATAATGGATGGATGATCATCAAATTTTGAGCATCATCTCCTACTGAAATAATTAATCATCTTTTACAGAACAAGTTGATTGATGATCACAAAATTTTGTCTGTAGCATTTTGGGTAGTCTCTTATTAAGTTTGCTCATATTATTTGATTGGCCCCTTTTATATGACAAAAATAGAATAAAAAACTCCCACAAAACAGAGTCTATATCTAATCCCAATAACAGGTATACCCCTCTTATATGGTTCTGACATACTTTATTTATACTTTTACAGGTGTATTTACCTTATTCTATTGACAGATATCTATTCTATTGTATATAAATGAAAGTCTGGATGAAAGATAGATATAGATACTTGTACATTCAAATATCTCTTTATTTGTATAAAGATATACAGTACATCACGGTCAAGTACGCTTGGTTCGTTTTTGACCCATTCGTTTTGCCCATTCATTCGGTTAAACACCCGCAGACATGTATTTACACAATTATAGCATATTTTATGTCTAAAGTACACGTAGTAGATTTTGTACTGGTTTACCAAACATTTGGCTATACTGCGAATAATTAATAATTGCGATGGACCATTTGATCAGATAAAGATTTTGTATTCTGCTTTTTAAGGTGAAACCTGTTAATATTTTATATAACGTTGTTAATATCTTTATCGTATTGATATTTTAAATTGATATTATAAAAAGAGAAATTGTATAATACATGTTTAATAAATGAAGAATCGAATGTGCTACCTGTCTTATCCAAAGCTCACTAAGCTACCGTTTCAGACATTATTGTTATTAAACGATAAGATATTAATAAGCGTATACTTTATTTTGTCAACAGTTTGAGTTATCATTTGAAGCTAATCATATTTGTCATATGTTGCGGTTCAGATCGGAATATCCGTATACAGGGGACCCACCTACTGGCATGTTCCCGAAGGACGGATATTCTAATCCGACCCACAATCATATGTCATAAATTTTGTCTTGCATATTCTACCATATGTTAAATTCTTGACTTTAATAAAAACATTTTCCATAGAAATTTGAATCATTACACCCTTAACTATGTTCGTGCCGCAGCGTGTGAAATTACAACTTCAATCACAAAAGCGAAATAACGTCATCGTAAGCATGCCATTGTATAGCATGCCACGCATCTGGCACCCCTATGGCAGATAATTTTTCTGGCATGAGTAATATTAATGGAAACACCAGTCTGATCTGCAAGAAATACTCTGTCAAATCAATGTAATAGTTAATGCTTATAAATGAAAGTCTGGATTTCTTTTAAGTGATATAAAACCCATTTTACTCAAAGTATATCACTTCTAAATTGTCAAATTTAACGGGTCCACACAAAATGAAATGAGTAAATAATTAAGAGACAATTGTTCTGTTTAGTGGATGTGTGTAAAACACTTGAAGTTTTGTCTTATATAGAAATTAAAGGGGAAAAAATGAACTGAAATAATTTTGTCTAATTTTATAATAATAATTTTTGTTAAACTCGTTAATAGAAAATGCCAGTTTGGCCACAAGTGGCTCCGAGTACATGACATCTTAATTTGTTAAAAGAAGCGGGTAATAGATGATAGTAAGATAAAATTAAATATTTTTTTTTAATTCTGACTCAATGGGCTAATTCCAGTAAAAGTAAAATTGCAGCTACGTGTTGAATGACCCCCATAAAACATAATTCAGTAAAGTATCGCTATTAGGACCACTTTAGGGGCCTGGTAAAAGTGGCCTTACTATCGAGTCGTCTTAATTTGGAGACCCATGCTAATTTTAGTATAGCTTATCATTAGCGATTGAGATCGTTGAAACCTAACTGTTTGAATAACATAAACCATTAAAGCTGCACGCCTCCAGATTCATGTTAATTTTTTGGAAATGCATTTTATAGTAAAATATTGTGAGGTGAACAAATTTTAAGTAATTTACATACAGCAATCGGCACTTACAATCCAAGAAAATTACCAAAAAGTGCTTAACATATGCAACAACAGCCCTTACTGCGTTAGTAACGCCACAATAATATGTAAAACATATATCAGATATTGAATGTTTTTACTTTTCTTTCAATTTTAGTACGTATTTCTCAATTTTGATTTTCTTGAAATATTTTTGCTCATCTGGAGGGGTGCAGCTTTAAGCCTGATTTTTATTTAACAAAAAGATGATTTATTTATTGAAATTATCACATTTATGCATCGTATTATACATCTAAATAAGCATATATTTTTTCGAAAATACATTATAATTTTTCGACAATTTTCACAAGATAATTTTATTTTAATCATTGTTTGTTCAGTTGTCGAATTTTTGCACTGGTGATCTCTTGTATAATCATAATGTCTCCCAAAAGTTTTGGGAGACATTTTTTTTTTGCCTCCGCCGTCTGTCTGACCGTCCGTCTGTCTGTCTGTCCGTCCGTACAAAGCCAGACGTACTTGTGTGACTAAAAGAACAATGCGTAATACTAAATTCTCTTTGATCCTATTCATTCCGTTTTTACTTGTGTTTCTTTTTTAAGCCTATTGTGACTAAAATGGCTAAAAAGATCAAAGGAAAAGTCACCTAAGTACAATGTCGTAAGTACGTCTGTCCGCTTTTCTTGTCCAAGACATAACTTTGAAACAACAAGAGATATCAACATGAACTTTGTAGGTAGATAGATCTCATTGTGAAAAATTGCAGTTCAAAAGAACCAAAACTCTGTCTTGCTTAATTTTGGAGTTAATGTCTTTTGTTTATTTTGACACTTTGAACATTGTCCGGGACAGAACTCTTACATTATAAGAGATATTAACGTGAAACTGTGTAGATAGATAGATCTCATTGTGTAAAAGTGCAGTGTAAAAAACCATAACTCTGTCATGCCTAATATGGAGTTATTGCCCTTTTTTCGTTTTTAAACTTTGTACACTGTCCAAGACCTAGCTCTAAAACTATAAGAGATATCAGCATGAAACGATCTCATTTGGTAAAAGTACAGTGAGAAAAGGATCATAACTGTGCCTCGCCTAGTTTTAGAGTAATGGCTCTCTATTCATTTTTACATTTTGAACTTATATAATACATTGTATGTATTACAAAAGAACAATAACTCTGCCCTGTCTTATTTTGGAGTAATTGCCCTTTGTTCATTTTTTGACTTTGAACTATGTCCAAGACATAATTTTCATGCAAATTAGAACAAAAGCATGGAGCGTGCTGCGTTAGGAAAATGCTGTCATAGATATGCAGTATTTAAATTGTATGTTTATATCGTGTCTTGGAAATAAGACGATTCTTGAATGTGTTCAAAATGTGATATCTCATTTTTTTATTTATTTCTGCGAACATAAATGTTGGCATTTCTGTGCACATTCATTACCTGGGTATTAAATGATAGCCTAGCGACTTTCCCATTTTTGATTCTTTTCGGGCGGTCTCAACCGCGGTAACTGATAGTGCACCGGCGTCACATGATTGAAATTCTGTTGTTATTATTATGATTAGTATGATGCACCATGTGTTTCCAGGTACACGGTAATAAATCTTAGTACGAAACAAACGAAAGATCGATTTGTCGAACATATGAATATATAAATAAATAAATAATAATAAAAAGAAATATAATTTATATAATATTTGTAGATGCTGGATTTGCAACTTATGAGAGACTATACAAGTGCGCTTACTATCTATAACTTCATTCTGGGACTTAAAATGTGCATCTTTCTGTACTAGCTTCATTAGAAGAAAGTTATCAATAGAAGATAAAATGAAAACAAGCTTAAAAACTGGCAGTTACGGTGGGAAGATTAATTTAATAATTTCAATGTTTATTTTTGAACGTCTTTGTACGTATATGGAAATTATGTTTATGGAACTGTTCGGTTTTCAAATGAAACCGTGTTTCATTAGGTTATGTTGGCAATTCTGTAACAACTTTTATGTTGAGAACCTTATCTCGTACATGCAGGTGATGTGTTGTAGATTCTTTGCTTGATCTTGTATATCAACACTTAATGTCATCTACCGCAAATGTTTGAGGGAGAGAACCACCCAGAATGATATATATATATATATGTTTTTAACTAGTGTGCCAAGACAGACCTATCAAAACTTAAAAAGGAAAACTTTTTTTCTTTACGATTTGTTTGAACGTTTATTTGTGGTCGAGCGTTGCCCATAATTGGCGGTGGCTCTTGTTAGAAATGTCATGGTACTAAAACTACCCGGTTAATTACACAATGTAAGCTAGCTGAAAATACAACCAGTAACATATTCATCTGTTTGACACTTATCACTTTCCCAATCTACATAATCAAAGGAAATGTATAGTACCATTTATGTAATATAACGTAAAACACGGATAATAAAACAAAACATCCTGTTGTTTTAATTAAATTCTCAAAATACCTTAACCAGAAGGCTTTTACATACACTTTTGGATTATTGAATTGGCTAGTCTTGCATATTTCCTAACATCTCCTATAAATATTAGGTTACGATTTACGTACTAACCACTTAAAGTTATGCCAAAATTACTGTTTTCTTGGTGATATAACTTGTAATCATGTTAATTAAAGTGTTTCGGAATAAGAATAGAAAGAGAATATTTTCTAAAGAATTCACATTCTTGGCATATATATTTGGGAGTTCAGTGCTTTATAAATAACAATAGCAAAACTTCGTACACATTTACAGAAAAAGTTATCCAAGTGACGCTTTTCTGCACATTTAGATGCAAAAGATGGTTAAATTCTCATTTGCTTGTATTCGAAGCTTCTTTTTGTCTTAATCGAATGCATTATTAAATATAAAAGACCCTACCCTAAATGCTCTAATGTTCAAGTTAATTACTTAAATCCACCATTTCATCGGTTATTTATCATCTTATGGTAATTTATTTAGATAATATCAAATGGTTAATAAGGTTATCGAAGAAGCAAGAAAAATGTGTTTTAATTCTGGCTAATGTTGTTGTTGTACTTGGTGCTCTGTTGGCTATAGAAGCAGCATCAAATACGTGGTATATTGTTAATGTCATTGTTGTAGTTGTAGCTGGTGATCCGGTGGTCAAAGAGGCAGCTACAAATCTGTTGTAAATTTGCTAGTCACTGTTGTTGATGTAACTGGTGCTCAGGTTTTGTGTGCAGCAAATTGGTAAAATAATTGTTTTTGTCACTGTTGTTGTTATTTTTGGTGCTCTGATGGTAATAAAAGCAATACCAGTATTAAATCTTTCATATATTGTTAATGTCACTGATGTGTTGTAGCTAATACTCTTGTGTTTAAGAAGTGACAGTTGTTGTTACAGCTGGTGCTAAAGTCGTTGTAGAAACAGCAACAAATCAGGTCGATCAGAAGGTAGCGTGTAACCAACACTGACAAACATTTGACTCTGTCTCAATCCATTGAGAAGTTGCAGTACTTTGAAAATATTTTGGTTGGAAAAGATCAACGCAATATGGTGATTTTCGACAATTTTGAGGTGTCGCATCATTGCATTGATAATTCGAAATGTAGACTGAACATGCCTTTACAAAGGCTTCGATCCAGTGTGGAACATTTGTTCCCAGTTTGATGAATATTGAGGCATTTTTGATAAATTTATAGCAATTTGAACTTGTACCCGGAAGCTTTTCAATGACAAGCCAATTTTTCACAAATTGCTCATGCAGTTATGCGTTAATAAAATTCTAATAACAATGCTGTTGTTGTAATAGCTGGTGCTCTGATGGTCGTAGAAACAGCAAAAATATGTGGTAAAATTGTCAATGTGGCTTTTCTTGTCGTGAAACAGCAACAAATCTGGATAATAATTGTTAATGTACTTTTGTTGTAGCTCATGTTCCTGACGTTGAAGAAGAGTCAACAAATCTATTGTTCATTATACCGGTCCTCATCGTGACGACCGTCATCGTGGTCATCGTGATCATCGTGTTTTGTAAATACAAAAACAGAAGATGTTCCTGCATGTGTAAGTATTCGAACAATTGAACCTTTATCCTGCTCGAAACGAAAGTTATCATTGTTTGCCTCTAGTATGGAGCCAGCCCAATATATGATCTTAAATCTGACATTGATTGTTGTGTGTTTAAGCTGCACTTTCAAAACAAAACGTAAAGCTATTGTCCTGATTCTCTCGACGGCATCAGCGTTGGGTAACATTTTTGTAAAAGTTTATTTTGTCAGGAACTGTTAAAGCTATTTACTCGAAATATAGATTTAACCTCATACTGTGTCATCCGTACCTTTTAAATTGTTTGAGTTAGTCAACAAACTTTACAGGAAATTTATCAGCATGTGCACCTGGCGGTTAGCTTGGGTATTAACCTAGTTTTGTTTGTGTCATTGCCCTTGACTTAGTTAAAATTTGCAATTTTCAACTGATGTTGTGAGTAACCAAAAAATTAGTCTAGAGTCATGAAGGTTAATAAATTTGATGGTCATCATGTGAAGTTGTGCTCCTAGGGGTTTGCTTGTGGATTAATTCAGTATTCGTAAAGTTTTTGCCCTGGAAACTACAACTTGCGTCATGTGTAGCCAATAAGTATTTGACCTTGAGTCATGATAATTTACAGGAATGATGAACACTGAATAGTATGTGCATCTAGTGTTTGCGTGTGGAATTATGCAGTTTTGTCAGAGTATTTGCCAATGACATACTATGAAATTTTGAATTTTCATCTTAATTCATGTGTAGCTCAAAAAAATTTGACCTAGGATCTAGAAAATATGTTGATCAGCATGTGTAGTTGTGTACCCATGGGTTTGCTTCTTTAATCAGAATTTGTAAAGACAATGCCTTGACTTTGGAAAAACTGGTTCAACATTTTTAGTCATATGTACATCTAAACGTGTTTGAGCTGGAATCATTAAACTTAACAGGAATGTTGATCAGCATGTAAAGTTGCACCTTGATTTTTGGATGTGGATTAATTTAGCCTGTAAGAGTTATTGTCCTTTACTTTATATAAATTTTCTATTTTCAACTTGTGTCGTGTGTCGACAAAACGGGTTTGACCTGACGTAAATTTATTGGGGATTTTTTTAAGTAGATTGTTCAAAAAGTATCCAATATATTCATTTTAAACTTGGGTTACTTGTTTACTTTTAAATCTGACATGCAATTGTAGATGCAGATAATCCTAAAGCTTAAGGTTTGCTTAATTGTCTTCCTGCTTTGAGTAACAATAGTACCCTTTTCTCAAGAACCGTGAAAGTTATTCATTTAATTCCTGAAATGTTTGTTAACTATCAAGGACAGGTAGGTCAGCTTAGCATGTTTGCAAAATAATTCCCCCTTTTCTATTTTGCTTTAATGTAACTATCCAGAACTGAGAGTGGGATATGCTGTCCGTTGACAATTCTTTTTATATTAACTTGTCACTAGCTTATATATTGTGTTCTTTAGTGTACAAGAATGAACATCAAACTGGTTCTGAACAAGCACAAGAATTAAATGACCGTGGAATTCATGATGATGAAAGAAGGTAAGTTTTATTTATTTATTGTTGATTCTAAACCTGCTTGCAGTTTTAGACTCTACCTATGTCATCAGGCAGACCAAGATCAGTTCGTACATCACTAAGATAGACGTGTTCATTTAAGATATATCAAGGGTGGAAACAATTAGGATATTTCTAATTCTATTTTTGTATTACCCGTTGGCCTTTAAAGTTGATGGGACTTTGATTTATGCAGAATATGCGTGGACATTTAAATATATATAAATGTTTCAAGTCTGCAGCATAGGAAGGTCACAGGAGCTTAATATAGACTTTGAAAATAACATCTTTTAAAAATGCTCTGCTCAGAAACTACAGTGCCAGAGCTTTGATATTTGGCATGTAGCATCACCTTGTGGTTCTCTTCAAAAGCTATATAAGCATGCCACTGGATAACTTAGTTTACATAGGCTTATATAGAAAAATACATTTAAGTCCACTAGAAAAACCTTTCTAAAAACCCTAAAAATACAATATTTGACATGAAACTTTGTGGGGCCTTCAAAAATGTTGTACAAGTCATGATTCCTGTGTCAACTCTACACGGAAGTCACTTAGTCCTTATTGACTTGTATAGAAGAAGTGTTTTGAAAGACTTTTCTGACACTGCAATGTCTAGAGCTTTGCTATTTGGCATGTAGCTTCATCTTGTTGTCCTTCAAAAATTCAAAAAAGTATATAAATATTGCCTCTGGGATCAAAATTGACACCGCCCCGGGGATGATTTACTTTATAAAAATTTGTTTAGGAAAAAAACATTCTTTTAAGAAATAATTCCCAGGGGCTAGATATTTGGCATATTGCATTGCTAAGTAGGCTGTACGAAAGTAATTTGAGTTAAGCCCCTGGGATCAAAAATGGCCAACCCTTTGGGGTACTTAGTTTACATAGACGTGTATAATAAAAATGTCTTCAAAACCTTTTTATTTTGTACCATGTCAAAACTTAAGGCATTTTGCATGTAGCATTACCTTGTAGCATACATACCATAACCTCCCGGATGTCCGGGATTGTCCCGGAAATAATATATCTGTATCTGGAGTTGTATTCGAGATGATTTATGTCCCGGTAAAATATTTTTTTAAATAATCTACTTTGCATCCAAATTTTTTTATATTTAAATATAATCTTAGTGTCAAGTTATTATTAACTATTCTGGAATGGTAATATCAAAACGATTATCCCCATAAGTAATATACAGTGAATGGTGACACTAATCCTTTAATTGGTATGTCTATATGCCCCTTCCAACTAACAATTATCTGCCAGAATTTAGATCAATTAAAAGATAAATAATTTACACCATGTGACTTCCTGAGCGAAGGTGTAAAAAACTGTTATTTACAACTGGTCAGCATTAATTGAGTCCGCCTGTAGGCAATCTATTTAAGTAAATTTATTAACTAAAACTGTTCAACTGTAAATATAGGCGCTATTAGTATAATATATGTTGTCCATGATTATGTTAAAATATGAATATTTCAAGAGCTAGCGCATAAGGCTTGTATATTTTAAGAGCAACTGATTATTTGTAAACAGTCTCATTAGCAGCCAAAGTATAATATTAATTAGTTCAATACTAAAACAAGAAAATTTAAACACGGCCTACCTGATATATGCAATACTTTGATGAAACAGAAATAAAAAGTATTCAATGTAAATTATATTACCAATTATTTACGCCGATCCATAATTAAGTATAATTTCACAAGTTTAATTAAGAAGTCTTACTTTAAATGCTATATGAAGAAATAAAAACAAAGTTTTGAAAAGCACTTGTTTAAAAAAGACCTTTTTGACGCAGGAAAAACACGAAAAATCAGATGTCAACTTTATTTTTATATCCCCGCACAACAAAGTTGTAAGGTATAGTGTATTGATGTTGACATTTTCACATTTGAAGCATATTATTATGTTCTCATATATTCATCATAAAACTCCCCAAAGTGAAGCTGCATAAATGGGGGTGGTATTCAAGTCATACAGTGGCAGTTTCAGTTTTTGAGTTCAGTAGAGCAAAGGTTAAGGTCACTTTGATCTTTGCCACTAAAATCATGTAGCATACATAACCAAGCAATGCAATGTCTTTTTACCATCAATTTTGCAGAGAGGTTGTCCTCCTTGAGCTCTTAATGACCACAATTGATTCTGACAAGTGGAATGCGGAGGATGGTATTCAGGCCATGACAGTGGTAGTTCTACTTTGGATTTTTTTCCAAAAGACTATCATAATTTCAATAAACAATTAATAAAATTATTCCATATCTTTCACATTTATATTGTATAACAAACATATAAGAGCCACTGCCAAGCTGAGGCCATGCTTGACTTTTCCTTACTTCTAGTAAATCACAATGGAAGAATATCGTTCTAAAGAAAAAAAAATGAATTCAAATTTCATGTATGACACGCACAGTCAAAATAATTCCAATAAATAATCCACGAAAGGGCAACTGATGACTTCCTCCGCCAGTAAAGCTTGAATGTCGCTATATGACATATATCCGTGTGACGTAAAACCCAATTAAACATACAAAAACAAAAATTCAAAGTTGAAGGTAACATTTGTATTAGTCAGTTTTTATACATGTTATTTTGTCTGAGAATAAATCAAATTCTTAAGTAAAAATCTAATTATGAACATTTAGACAAATTTCAAAACATTTACTTTGGTGGTAAAGCCATAAAGGTCAAGGGCAAAAAATGTTGATAAAAATCAGCATGTCAATTTTGTCAGATGTGTTCTTTTGACTGTGTAAATGTGCAAATAACAAGGACAAGACAATTTTAGCTTATTTCAATATTTGAACTTAAAGGCCAAGAAGATCACATCAGAATAATTCAACATGTCGTTTTTATCATATGTGTTCTTTTATCCAAGTATAAATTAAATCTGCCAATAAATAAGAAAGTTATGACAATTCATTGAGCAAATTTCAATAGCTTAAACTTTGACCATAGCAGTCATATTGGAATTACTTAATTTGTTTTGTTACAACTTTACTTTTGCCAAAGCTTAAATCATATCCGTGTATAACTAGGTCACATAGACCAAAATGGAAAAACCTTGTTATCGCTTTTAAGTGGTAAAATATTAAGCCCAAAGATCCAGACATAATGTTTATTGTATGATATCTAGCTCCATACGAATTTGGGAACAGGACCGCATATTGCGACGCATTAATCCAAATTCATACCGGCTTCACATATTGTTTGTCCGACCTCTGAATATTTTTTCATATGATCCGAGTGAGTGGTCTTTAATAATATAATCATAATTTAATATAATGTGCTTGTTAAAATGTAAGTCAAGTTTACGGTTTAAAGGTAAAGGAGTGACATCCGCTATTTACCGCAAGGTTCGACGTAAGTTACCCCCAGCGACATGCTTGAGTTTTGATTTAATTTTCCTAGGACTGTACTTTCTTTGAAGGGCAGACTACTGTATTAATTTCCTAATAAACTTACATTATAAACAAGAGCGATCAGTAATCACATGTGTCGCCTCATGATGGCCAATTTCATGTTGGGACAAAGTTTGTGACAGACGGACAGACAGACGGACAGTGCACAACTAGACTTGGTACTGATCATTCCTGTAAAGTTTGGATGAAATTGCACCAGTAGTTTATGAGGAGTAGTCCGGACAAGTTTTGTGACGGACAGACGGACAGACAGACGGACAGACAGACGACAGAGAAGTGATCCCTATATGTCGCCACTACTCCGTAGACGCCACACAAAAATACCCTTTAACTACACAGGTAAAGGTTTCATACCAAATATCAAACATCTAGCCTTTGTCAATTCAGAGGAAAAGATTTTTAAGTTTTTTTTTCTATACATACCAAGGAAAACCTATGACATCCTGGTGCCAATTCACTAGGGCAACAGTTGAACAACTTTGGTAAAGGTCGTACTGATGATATTATATACCAAGTATCTAAGCTCTAAGCATAAACCTTCTGACAAGAAGATTTTTTTAAAAAGTTGTTACTATATACCTATAAGGAAAACCTTATTATATGACCTTGCCAAGTTTGGTTGAAACTGGACAAGATGTATTTCACAAGATGTTTTATAAGTTTACTGTATTATCTATAAAACACACATTTACACACACGCGCGCGCACACACACCCAGAGGGGAATCGCTTAATGCCATCGCAGCATCTACTTGCACCAGACCGGCAGTCCAACACACTTTCTAAAAATAAGATGACAATAACGTTGTTGACATGTCCACTAAAGCCTTATGAAATTTAATTAAAGCTTTTTGATTTTTAGAATGAACTTTCATTTTTTCATTCCAAACTGTTATCAAACAATATGAGGTAAGATACATGGTAAAGTCAACCTAGTGGACCTGATTTGAGCTAGGTGGGTGGAGTGTGGGAATCCAAAGATTAGTGAATCATGTTTAAAGCATGTGGATTTACTGAAAGAGTGCATCAGAAAGATTTTAAGCACAAAGTTGAAATTTATATGACAAATGCACTTTATATGTGTTAAAATCAAATTAAATACCCAATATCTTCATTTTTATGTTGACTAAAGAATAAATAAATTTCTTTTATATTATCTATGAATTCAGTTTATAGTATCTATTTGGATTGACTTTTATTACAGTCAGTGCTTTTTGTGATACCATACACTGTGCCCTTGAGTATTCTTTCGGCACCTTTACTCCAAGTAAGCAAATGAAATAATTGAAGACCAGGACCTTTAGTGTACTTCCCCTCTGAGTGCGGGATCTGAACATTACTGTCTGCCCTGTTCACCCTGTCTCGATCTCGAGTCCATCTCTGTCTTGGTACATACCACCCTGTCTCATGGTCTGCAAGTTCCTACATGTATAGTCCGCTGGGACTGTTTAATGCCACCGAGGAGAACTCCATATAGTTTTTTGACAATCCATAAATATTTTACAATCCAATAGGAAAAATGATCCATGTGGTATTTAAAAAATCTAATTCCTTTCAAGCTATCATCATAATGCAAATATAAAACTCATTGGTAAGGAGTAAATTAAGGGCTTCTCCCCCTCATACAAAAAAGGTCAAATTGAGAAGTAGTACTGTTACAATGTCTTATCAAATATAAAGTCATATATACAGACAATTATTAAATATTTAACAATATTGAATTAAGATAAAATAAATCTTTAATATATGCAGTCCAGCCAATAATAAGCTGAAAATATTTATTAATCTCACAGAATAAGAAAATAAAATGTACACCGACTCAAACCAGATACACTCTGCACAACCAAAAATCCCAGAACCCTTGGAATACCATACAGCAGGTCTATAGCTTAAACATTTTCAGTCTCATAGTTCTATGCATTGACATAACCCCAGCATATTGAAATTAGTCCTTTTTCATTGGGACTCTTGAGTAACAAAATGATTTGACTTATGAGTTGAGTTATGTACCGTCATAGACTTATATTGGACCCTAAAAGTAACAGGGTGAAAATATCACAGGGTGAGAAAAATGTGCAGTTAACTTTGTTTAACCGGAATCAAACCAGGGATCCTCAAAATATAATACATGTATGTAGGCTGTACGAGACTGAGCTATCTAGCTGGTAATGTCATTAATCTATAATATGTCACACTATTTTGAGTTGATTTTTTCCATCAAAATTGATTTCAAAGTGCTGAAACTTCTCAATGGATTGAGATAGAGTCAAATGCTTTTCAGCGTTGACTACACATTACCTTATGATCAATCTGGGGTCATTTATAGCCTCTCACAAGTCCAAAATTTTCTTGACGATGAGGGGGACTAAGCCCCCTTCAAACCTTCCAAACAGAAGGGGGCACATCCCCCTTCTGAAAACCCCCTGATGTATCTTTTGGTTGGGGGCCGCGCCGAAAAAGAGGCCACTTTTTTAACAACATTTCTCAAACAAAAACAAGTGTTGGGGGCCTAAAAAGGCATTTTTTCACCATTTGAGACAACATAAAGGGGGAGGGGGTAAAAAAGGCGTTAAAAGGCGTGTATATAACGTAATGGGTTAAACTGAAAATGCATAGTTTTGAACTTTCAAAAACTTTGACAACTATGCAAACAATATTTTAATAAAATGTGATCTAAATGTGACAATAGTGCATAATTAGGAGCTACTTTTATCGAAGTTTCATCCGGAAGTGGATGTTGTTTAGCAAAACAGTTTACCCTATTAATTTCTGAAATGCAGCTATAACTCTGTATACATTGCAAGCAATGTATACAATAATACTATGACCACAGCCGATGTCGTACAGAAAAGGCATATATGAAAAAATCTTGTTGACATTTGCACTTTTTCAGGTGCATATATGAATGTTATGATATCAGATTAAGTTTATGAAATCAGCCTTTCATTCATTGCTAACATTATTAGTTCAGAGTCTCAATGACCAGGTGAGCAATATAGAGCCATCATTCCCCCTTGTTATATTCAGTTGAGTGATTTCAGTGCAATCATTGCCTTCTTGTTTATTTAATTTTATTTCCGCAGTGATGATAATTCTGATGACGACACACTTCACTCAGAGGAAGCCAAACTACACAAAGCTGACGATGATGCGACGGAGTCTGGAAGGGAAGTTGATGGTAGAAACTTCCATCGTGGAGGAGAAGTTGATGGTAGAAACCTCCGTCTTGGAGGGGAAGTTGATGGTAGAAACCTCCGTCGTGGAGGGGAAGTTGATAATAGAAAATAACGTGATGGAGGGGAAGTTGATGGTAGAATATAACGTGATGGAGGGGAAATGATGTTAGAAAATTCGGTCGTTGAGGGGAAGTTGCTGGTAGAAAATTTAAGGAGCATCTTTTATCGGTAAATAAAGCGACAAAAAAGTAAATACTCCACTAAAGAAGTCACCACGTTATGTCACTGTGGACAGTAATTAAACATCGTACCCTGCCTTATAGCTCTTTTTTTATATTTAACTGTTTTTCACAAAAACAAGAAATAGGAAAATGAGAAAGTTACTGTTAGAGTAAATTATGCAGTGAAAAGTTAACAATTGAAAATAATATTGAAATGAGAATGAAAGAAAGATATTATAACGTAAACAAATACTTTTGTTTTTGTTAACATATTGTGTTATATACTGAATTAATCAGGGCTTACGCAAATGTGTGTGTGTGTGTCAAGTCGGTAAGTTTAAATAAATGTATTTTTTATTTTTGCAAAGGTACAATATTGTTGTTTATAGAATAATGAAGTATAACTACATTTTATGTTATTGAACATATTCATAAAATGAATGATGCACACAGTTATAAGAGCGAGATTGTTTTAATTAATAATTTATTCACATGAAAGTAAAACATGACATACATGAGGTTTAGAAAATATACGAGGTTTAGATGATTACTTACAGTTGCTATTTATAACTAAATATGTATATTGTGAATTGTGTTCTTATGCAGGAATGTCTTTATAGTATTTTTTCAACAGAAACAAAATATTTAATTATGAAAAGTAGGAATTTCCTGTCATAAAACGGTCTCCGGCAGTAACTCTATAATAACAAAATTAAGTATAGCATAGCATTATTGTGAAGTCCTTAATTGTGTCTGAATAAATCAAAGTTATAATATATTTTTCTATCTGCCCCCCCCCCCCCCCCCACTCCGAGGATATACAGATATAATAAATATACTTTTGATTATTGAAATATGTTTTAGTTTGAATAGTTGTAACAAAACATTAAAAAGGGTATTCTTAAAGACTTTCATCACACACTGGCATTTAATGAATCTCTTTGGCTTTTTGGTTTTTATATTCCCGATGGTATATAATGATATTATGTACAAATTATAAGACAAATAAATGTCAACGAAATATTTGAAACAATAAAATTGTAACTTAATAAATCTGTATTTCATCCGAATCTGAAAAACAAGTTGTCAATTGTGAACAGATTGTTATATACATGTTTAATAATTTTATGTATTTTCGGAATTTTTCACTGGTTAACACTTTAGATGTCTTATGACCCACACAACCTCTATAAGCTCGTCGTTCCCTAATGTCGGTAAAGTAGCATTATTTAAATCAACTCGGGAAGCTTATATTTTTATATCTTTTAGGTATAAAATATTTTGTATTATTTTAACAATTTTTTATGTACTTATCTTACTGTTTACTGTTTATGTATAAGTGTGAAACTGAAGCATAATTTAATCATAAGTAGTAAAGAATTATTTCTATGTTAAAGGTAACAAAGAATGACATTTGTATGAATAAATAAGAATGAAAGTTGTTAAGTTACTTATGTTTTCGGTTAACTTGTTGTTATTATGCATAAAATGTTCAAATAATTGAATACAGTTTTAAATACATTGACATGAAATTGTTGATACATGTTTTTATAAAATTTTATATAATATTTTATATATATATATATATATATATATATATATATATATATATATATATATATATATATATATATATTTAAAAAAGCATTATTAAAGTAAACTCAGAAAGCTTAAGACGATTTTTTCATATCTAGATTTTGACAGTGACTCTATGTCAGTTACAGCTTATAGCCTGAGAGAATGCCCCAGCCTTGAACATTGAAGAACAACTACACAACAATAACTAGAAAATAATACGCTACACAATTTGTGAAACACCACAAGGCTCTATTTTTTTTAATTGTTTCTGAAAGCAAACAAATAAGCAGTTTTAACAAATCTTGAAAAAGAAAAATAAAAAACATTATTGAGATTTCACTTTTTTATTTATATTGGTCTGTCTAGTCACACCTTTTGTCTTGTCCAAGTTTGAACCACTTTCATAAATAAATGACAAAGTTAAGAAAATATGAACAAAATTCTGACCTTGACGGTCAATGTCATTTAAAGGTAAAGGTCATATCTAAATTATTCAACATGTCTGTTTAGTCATAATTGTAATTGGCCACCTATGAATCAAATCAGTACATAAATAACAAAATTATGACAACTTAATCAAAATTAATTTCACCTTGACCGTCAAGTCATTTAAAGCTCAATGTCAATGTTAGTTCAACCTTTTAAAAAAGGGTATTATTCCAAGGGTTGTTTGAAGGGTGCCCGAAGGGGCACCTGGGGTCTTCCTCCACCAATAAAGCTGGGAAAAAAATCGACGAAAAAATCTCGGCGGGACGCTCTTGGATGGCCCGACTTGAGTGTACGGTCGCCCATATGGGCTTTCCGGCGGCGACCTTAAATAAACGCATTAAAAAAAACGAGTTTAATATGCATAAAGGTCCTGACCTTAAATGTGTATCTCTAAATATGAAGTCAATCCATTCATAAATAACAAAGTTATTGCCACTTACAGGAAGAACAAGATAATTTCATTAATTTGACCTTAATAGTCAGGGTCAATTTAAGGTAAAGGTCACATCTAAATTATTCAATATGTTTGTTTGAAAACAAGACTTGTTTTGTCCAAGTATAATTCAAATCCAAACATAATTAACGAAATTATGACATTTAATTCAATCGTTTGACCTTGGCCGTCAAGTTCATTTACTGCTCTATGTCATGGTCAGTTCAATTTTTTCCAAAATATTGTTTTGTCCAAGTATGAAGATAGTCCACTGATAAATAACTAAGTAACATTCAGTGTCTAAGACGTTAATGGGTCAAAATCAATTTAAGTTAATATGCATACATCACTAATCCTTAAAAATGTTATTTTTAAGTTTGAAGACAATCCATTCAAAAATAACAAAGGTATAACCACTTGTAGAAAAAAAACAGCGAATCCAGAGAAAAATAGACATATTACCTCGAAGGTCAATGACATTTACAAATGAATGAATGTAGGAATGAATGAATGAATGCAGGAAGCAAGGAAGGAAAAACTGAAGGAAGGAAGAAAAGAAGGAAAGACAATTTTAATTCAATCTACTTGAAGGTCTAGTACAGAGGGTATTTGTGGCCGAGTATCAAAAAAATACACTATGAACTTAAAAAATAGTGATCAGCGTCAACAATTTTGAGTACGGCAATGGGAACACCGACATTTTTATAACAAAACCTCTATTTTTTTCTTCGAATAAAAGTTACGCCAAAATGTATACTCATTTAAATTGATCGATTTCTAAAATTGCATTTAAAAAACAGCATTTAATCTTGTGTACAAATACAGTATCTATAATGCCTTTAATGTAAAATTACTCTTATATAATAACATTATCTATAACTGTCAACAGTGAGCAACAACAACAACAAAATGCTAAAACTATTAGACTTAAGTTCCTGCATTTCAACAAAGAAGCGAACCTATTTCTTTGTATAAATTAAATGTGTTCTATGAGTTAAACTGATTATAAACTGTGGAAATAAAGGGAAACTAATGAAAACGACTTAGGAAAGCAGTCAATGCTACGACGATGTAAAAGAACAAATGAATGGAATAATATAGGAGTATAGACCTTTTTTAAAATACGATATTTCCATAGAAACAAAAGTAGCATTTCTCCAATGCACATTCTACATAGGGCAAAAAGCCAATAACGAAAGAATAATTTTATCAGTATTCAACAACTTCTTGAATAACTTAATGTGATCAAAATAATTGATCATAAGTTTGGAATAGTTTAATTTGATATGATGAATTTAAGTAATGTTCTTGAACATTTCTGTATGATACATTTATCAAGGGTCTTTCAATTTTGAAAGACTCTGAGAAAAAAAACGTTTGAGTACTAGCATAATTTATCATCTCTTGCATCTAAGTGACTGTGTTGAATAGATCTTCCTTTAAAAAGGAATTTAAAGTAAAGACTGTTAAGATGTACGAAGGTCCACTAGTGTCATATCTAATGCACTGAACCCCTAAATCAGATGTAGTGATTAGTATACTTTTTCTATTCTCATACCTAAAAGTGATTTCAAGTTATGTAACCCAGAAAACAGTTTTATTTTTGGAGTGACTTCAAGCGATGAGTACATAAAACGAGATTTGATATTTATAATAGATATTAGAAAACATGCGGGACTAAGTAATTCAATGATCCAGAGCGCATACAAAAGCCCAGGGTTTAAAAAACAATTACATGACTCTCGCCAATAACATAAATTGTGTAGGACAATAAGGAAAATCTAATATCAAGTACGGTTATCAAACTCTATCCAAAGACTTTAAAATTTAAATATAGCTCTTTGCTCTATCTTACAATTTTTGATTTATTTTCTTGGATATACTTTGTCAGTCAAACTTCTACATTGTAACTTTGGAAAAGATTTTAGAAATTATAAATGACTTTTATAAATGATAAAAAATGAGAAAAAGGAATGGGACGGAGATCAAAGATATAACAATTATTATAAATCAAGATAAACTGAAACGATTTTTGTTCTTTACATTTGTTGTATTAAAGATTGTTTATTTTTATCTCAAGTACCTTAACAGCCCTGATTGGCTAGTAATTCAAACAGTATCATGATCGGCTAGTGATTTAAACAAATGTCATGATTTGGCTAGTGATTTAAACAAGTGTCATGATTGGCTAGTAATTTAAACAGTATCATGATCGGCTAGTGATTTAAACAAATGTCATGATTTGGCTAGTGATTTAAACAATTGCCATGATTGGCTAGTGATTTAAACAAATGTCATGATTGGGTAGTGATTTAAACAGGTGTCCTGATTATCCAGTGATTTAAACAAGTATCATGATTGGCCAGAGCTTTCAGCCCTAGTGGGCGAGAAACAAGGTAT